CTGACAATTTTAAATCAAAATAGTCAGTTTTGACAGCTGTGTGTATGCTGTGTTAACCCAGTAATAGTATTCTTTACATATATGGCCCAATCACAAATTTGTAAACTATCTGTTTATTCCATCCTAGCTGAAATAAGATTTTAATAAATTTGGTATACAACTAAGAAAAGGGTGAGTAACAAAAATAAACATGGATTTTAATAGATGCTGTGTTGGCCCAAATGGGTGTCATCTTAGCTGAACGTTGTGTGGCAGTGTGCTATAGTAGATTTATAGGCAGCTTTACATTTTAATAATTCAGTATTTGCTATTTCCTGAGGCACAGCAAATATCTCTTTGTGACCCTGGCTACCATGAAATGCATCATCATACCAATGCATGTCACTGTGGTGCATTTCAGACCTCTTTTGAAAACAGTCTGGTGCCTAGAGAGCCTTCAGCCATGGCAGCTGGGAAGAGAAAAAGAGCTGGAAGGGAACTGCTGGCTCGGAGAGGTTCTGTCTCTGAAAGCTTTGCAATTGTTTTAAGCTATGTTCAAATGTTTTTCTTCCAACAGACTTTGGGAACGATCACTGCAGTGCCCATTAAGGTTCCTCAGGTCAGCTCCTTGCAGAGGTTGGCAGGACAAGGACCAGCAGTGCTACCTCAGGTACAAAATACAGTTTTCAAAGATGGGATTGTGTCGTTTTGTACATATTCTCTGCTGCTGTCTGGTGCCCAGGCCTGGGTGCATCAGCACACTGATTTTGCAGAGTTGTGTTTTTCTTCAGACCATGAAAAAAAATTCTTCTGGGAGTGTACTCATTGCACAATGAAAAGCTATAAAATGTCATGTAGATTCATTGTGGAAGAACAAAATACATATCGTGGAATGTAAATTTGTGCTTTAAAGTTGAATCACAAATCACAGAAGTGAAAATCTGCAATTTCTTAATTAAAAGAACTGGTGGAAGTGTTAGCCTTCCTGTTCAAGATTTAACCCCTGTTTGAGATTTAAATAAGTCTGTTTGGCTGACTTATTTGCCTTGTTCACCCCAATACATAGTTTTGGCCCAGCTAACCCAGGTGCCAGACCAAGAAAAGATTCTCTGGGTAAGAGTGAGAGTTGCACTCACTGGTTTTTAAAATGTTTCAAACTCTTCTTTTCTGAATACCCGTCACTGTTTCTGTAACTATGCACTTTATTCCCCATTTCAACCCTCTTTCTCGAAATTTTTGGATGTAATTTTCAGCAAGTGTTTTGCTGCAATTCTATGGTTTGCTCTTCATATTAATGATTATAAAGCATAAATATATTTGTCCTACTGTGGCCCTTAGAGATCTATTTCTCATATGTGAATACTAGAAAAGTGCTGAAGTTGATGATATATATTGTTCCTATTGTTTCTTCATTTTTTCTAATTTTTTTTAGTGGCAGAATCTAGTAGAAGATCTGTGAGCTAAATTTACTTGGAGAAAGAAGTGTTTCCAATACAAAGTTCTTTAATTCTCTCTTTAAATTACATTTTGTGGAAGGCAGAGTTGTGAACATAAAGTGAAGTTAAAATTTTCTTATCAAGTTCAAGACTTTGATTTTCAGTTGTTCTTACAACATAATAACATTTTGATTTCTGCCATTTTGGGGTGTCAAAGATGAGCAGATTGCTCCTGAAAATAGATGATGAGGTTCAGGAGCAGCTGAAAGACCTCTAACAGGGTCTAAATTATCATTTAGGTTGTGTTTCAGCAATGGTGATGGCATTGCAAATGCTGTACTTAGAGAAGTACCAATGCTCTATGCTTTTGTTAAATAGAAAAAAATTCATTCAGTGAAATTCTTCAATTTTGAAGAATTGAAAAAAGTGGAGGAAGCTGTTTTCCTCAGCTTTTTGAAAGGAGCACATCCTTTCTGTCTTGCTGTTTAGGTCATAGCAATATATTTGTTTGTATTCCACTTTGTTTCACTCCCTTCCTCGTACAGCTTCCATTTCAGACCTGTTTATGCAATCATAGTTAATACTAATGAACTACCAGCTCTTTCGTGGCTGCCCTGAGCCTGAGTTCACTAACTTTTCTGTTTTGTGAATATTTCATATAGATAGAATGGGCAATAACTACCTAGCAATCTCATGTCTGAAAAACTAAAAATGAAGTAGACAGCTGTATGTAAGCCCATGTTATCAGGGTGTGTCCAATGCCCTGAGTTTTTCTGGCTTTTTCACAGGCCCACAGCAGGCCAGCTTCTTCAGCAACTGCCTGTCCCATTTATATGCCATTCCTCCTTCATGCTTCATGGTCCATATGTTCCTCTCCCCCTCCAAGCTTACAGAGAAGTTTAAAATTTCCATGTATTTTCCTAGTGGGGAACTCCCTCCATCAAACATCCCTCCTTTGTGCTCAGTGTCTTCAGAAATACCAGGTTTCCATCTAAAAGTGGAAATTTTGGTTTCTAATTAACGAATCAGATGTCTTGAAAATAGATTTAATATAGCCATGGACCAGAGTGGTGCAAAGCTGTCACTCCCCAGGTACAGCTGGATGCAGGTGGCCTGGGAGGACACTGTAAGTCTGCAGCACTGTGTCACTGTGAAGGCTGTCCTTTGGAAGAACTGTAGGGCGAGTGCATAATCTTCTCTGGTCCAGGAAAACTGGAAGCTTCAGATGGAAATACAAAAATTCCAGGAAGCAAGGCCATGTGATCTCCTTCTTCCTTGTAGTGCTGTGAAAACAAGCACCTAATTAGCAATTATTTTGGAAATTAAGAGACGTATATTATCTTCCAGTAGGAGCTGAAAATTATGCAGAATTAAATCTTGTTACAGGCCATGTCCTCAGCTTTTTTTCATCAGACTTGGTCAGAGCCCAGGCTGGCCACTAACCTCCTTTTGTCCCCGTGGGTGACAGGCAAGGCCCCATACCTTGCTCTGAGTTATTGGCACAATCCTGCCATTCTAGGACTGTCTTTCAGACATGCAAACTTCCAAGCATGCCAACAAGTTGAGTCCTGCTGGGTTTGGCATCTGCTAAAACCTTTACTTTGTTTGCCCATGTAGCAGCAAATTACTGGGACAGCAGAACCATATTCATCACTCCTCTACCAAGAATTAGGAATATTTCACAGGGAATTACAGCAGTGCAGTGTCTGGACTTGGATGTTATCTGTGGTTCAATCTTGTTCTGAAAGGGATGGAAACGTCCCTGATCTCCATCTCTGCCAACTCTGGTTGTGACAGTGAAGTGTGTAGAGCCCTGCAGTGATGAAGGCAGAGCAGCAAAGGCTTCTGTGCTCTGGCAGCTGTGCCTGTTTACTCAAGCAGGTGGGTCCAGGTGTAGCATGGGCAGGTGCAGTGGCAGGTACAGCTGCACTCACCTAATCTTTTGGGCTGTGTATGCTGCTACTCTGCACGTCTGTGGGGGAGTGGAAGGCCTGGGTGGAGCCCTTTTGGGATTCCTGCCATTTTAGGAGCCTGCTTATATATGAATCCTCTGGGAGTGGCTGTCCTCTAAGGTGGACAGATTGCACTTCTGTCTCAGGTGCATGTAGATAACTGGAAAAAATCCAAGTCAGTATCTGCATTCCAGGCAGCATATCAACTGCTCCCTAGCATTTCTCCTTTTGGCCAGTCTCATTATTTCTTTGAGATTTTCAAATTATCTTTAAATTTACAGGTAGGCATAAATATTAGCAGGCTGGATGGACAGAAAGAGAGGACTCCTCCGTTTTGAGGGTGCTCATCATGTCTAAAGGAGTTTGATGTATTTGACACTTTCCTGCTCCTCATCTTGACAGCCTCTTTTGATTTACCCCTATGCAGTCAAGCAAAAACATACCACACAAATAAACGGAGGCATTTAACAAGAGTTACATAAAATAATGCATACAGCTCCCTCATTTTCCACATTTGTACGGATACTTGTCATTTGTTTTGTTCATTTGAATGGCTTTATGATACGACCCCCTGGGAGCTTTTCCATCTGGGGAACAAAGTTTCAAAATTTGCACAATCACAAATGGCAGCAGAATCCCATCACTTAGAACTGCTAATCAAGCAGTGAGCAAACAAACATTACTTACAAGTTCTTTCCACAATACAAACAATATCTTTTAGGCGTTCATTATTTGCCAAAACAAGCTTCTTTGGTGAATATTTGTTCTTTTTTTTTATTTTCCTAGAATATGAAGTTTTTTTTGTTTTCATCAAATAAGTGATCTGTGATGTTTCAGAAGTAAATTCCAGATGGTCTTTCTCTTCTTACTTTGGTCTCTGAGGTTTCCAGCTGAGTGAGAGGCTTTAAACTGCAGACTCTCCACTGCACTCTAATAAGAAAATCCTAGAGGTCCTCTGCTTAAAAACTGTGGTTCTCCTGAGCTATTCCTCTTCTTTATGGCACCATCTGCTCTAAGGAGGGGCTGATACTCTGTCAGGTTGAGTTCCAATTTCCAGCTTCAGAGCAAATATTCTGTCTATTTTGAACTGGTGTACAGACAAATAAAAGTTGCACTGTAGCCACATGTGAAATGTTAATTTCTGTTCTTCAACAGGAAGATTTTAAATGAACATCTGATGTAAGCCATCTCTTCTCTCTTCTCTTCTCTTCTCTTCTCTTCTCTTCTCTTCTCTTCTCTTCTCAGCATTTTGAGTGCTTTCATCTTGCTTTGGCTGTCAGCAGACAGAAATTATTTTTGTCCTTGCTTCTATTATTATTTTTTTCTTTCTTCTTTGATTTGGCTAGTAAATGAGTTGAGGCTGGTTAAATCATCATAATGTGATGTTATTGTTGTTTAGAAGCAGGGACATTTCTTGAAGTGATGGACAGTACAAAGCAGTGATATCCATGGTCTTTAATGTGACACCAGATTTTGAGTCCAGAGAATGCCAGCTGTGTGGATTAGTTCAGAGCTTGCCTAAGGAAGTATATGGACAGGAGGAAAGCAGACAGGTCTTCTCTCATTCTTGTCCAGAAGCTTCATGGACACTTTAAATTGAAGGAAGTTAATCATAGATGAGAGAAGCAAGCTAACTTGTTATGCTGAAAAGAGTGGAAATGAAAGTAAGTTATTGACTGGTGTGTGTATAATCACAGTCTATCTTTTATACTCCCATTGTAATCCTAAACAATAAGGATTATTTTTTTTCCTCAGAGGCACAAAGATAACTGCATGTTCAAGGACAGAATCGTTGTGCAGAAGGTAAAAAATCCCAGAAATCCTTGTCACCTTCAACCTCTACTTATTAATTTTTTGAATAATACAGGTTTTTATTTGCTGGTTTAATGGTAGTTTTTCCCTTTGCAAATGGAAAAGAGCCACTTAATGAGTCATCAATTCAATAATGGCAGAGCCAAACCAGAAAATATAGGCAGAAAATACACAATCCATTAGCAAAAGTCAGTCAAGTTCCTGTGAAAATACAGTTTTGTGTTTGTCAGGGTTTGACACTGGCTAGAAACCATGCTACCGACAAAAAACCATTCACTCACTCTCCTCTGCTACAGTTGGCAGAGGAGGGGGAAAGAAAAACCAAAAGGCTTTTGGTTTTGAGGTAAGATAAGAATTAGGCGAAAACACTACAAGGGCAAAGCAGGCTCAAAACTTAAAAGGTACAAATAAAAATGTATTAAAGAATTAAAAGAGGATAATGACAACTAAAAAAACCTTTAGAACACCTT